CTAAGAAGTCTCCCAAAGAACCCGCTAGAAATAAAAAACGTTCTGTAAAATAAAATATAAAAAGGAAAGGGGGATTTTATTGATTTGAAATTTAAATAAAAATAGAATTGAAAAAAAGGGATTTAAAAATCAGAATTTAAAAGCAATCAACCTAAGGAATTAGGATTCATTAATTTATTTCGTCATTAGATAAAAATAAAATTATCAATTCGTTATGAACCCCCATTGAATTCAGAATCCTCAAATTCAATTGCAAACCCTCTCTAGACTATCGCCTAGCGTTTGGTTGAATATAGTGTTTCAACTATGAAATCGTAGTAGTTTTAACCTGTTCAACTTACGTTCATTGAGTTAATTAATCTAACCATTAAATCTAATGATCGATTTTCCTTTATAGAATGCAATCGCATTATTCAGTTTGAATACCTACAATCGCATGATATTCAACCTAAATTGGGAAAAATGAAATTGATTTAAAAGTTAAAAACAAATCCTCTGAAATAAACTAACGAACCTTTAATCCTTAGATTGATTAAAGGTGTTTAGCCTAGCATCGCGAGGTTAAACATAATTCAAAATAAAATAAAAGAGAAGAAGAAGGTGAAAGGAAAAGAATGCAGAATTCCGATAAAGAAAACTGAAACAATTGTTCAATTTCAAAATCTGACTGCCGGAGGGTATCCTAAAGTTTTCCTTAAATAACCCACATTCGGGACGGGTTAGGGTTCCACCACTTCGGCCCATACATAAAATAAAAACTTAATAAAATAAAATAAAAAATTAAAACATGGCCTTGGGCCCTAAACACATTAGGTTCTAATCTAATTTACAAGTCCAAACGTCAAAATAAAATTCCAACAAAAACACGTCATTTGGGATCCGGTTTCGACCATCTTCCAGTCCGAATTGGGCTTAAGTTGTTGAAATATCGATTGTAGACTTTTCTGTTAGTTTCACAACACAATAAGAAAGAAGTCAATCAGACATTTGTAGAGTCAGATATGGATAAAATACGAAAGTAGTGTAAATCTGGAAAATTCTGACGAAAATCCATTAAACCCAATTAAAATCTAGAATTCTGATTTGACCCAAAAGACCTTTATTTAGCTCAAATAAATCCTAAAAATACTAAACAAGAGTAATAAATAAGTGTAACAAAATATGTGTTATCACAATGCATCAGGCACTTTTCAGCGGTGCATGGTAAACATCTTTTCTGAATTTTTAGAGGATTGCATAAAAGTGTTTATTGATGATTTTACTGTTTATGGATCTTCTTTTGTTGCGTGCTTGGGCAATTTGGCCAGGATTTTGAGTAGATGCATTGAGACTAATCTTGTTTTAAATTTTGAAAAATGTCATTTAATGGTTTAGTCAGGGATAGTTTTGGGACACATAGTGTCTAGAATGGGTATAAAGGTAGATCCTGCTAAGATAGATGTTATTACTGCTTTACCTCACCCCACGTCTGTGCGGAAGTTCTTTTTTTCTTGGTAATGAAGGATTCTACCGGCATTTAATTCAGAGTTTCCACAAGATTGCCCTGCCCCTGTCTAACCTTGTGCAGAAAGACACAGATTTTGAGTTTAGTGATAATTGCAAGTCGGCTTTTGATCAGTTGAAGTGATGCCTGACCATGACTCGGATGATCTAACCGCCAGATTGGTCTCTTCTATTCGAGTTGATGTGTGATGCTTCCAACTTTGCTATTGGTGTTGTTCTTGCTCAGTGAATTGATAGAGCCTCGCACGTTATTGCCTACGTGTCAAAGACCTTGGATTCTGCCCAATCTAATTCCACTCTCACTGAAAAAGATCTTCTAACTATAGTTTTTGCACTTGATAAGTTTAGATCATATTTGCTTGATACTAAAGTAATTGTCTTCTCTAACCATACAACCTTGAAGTTTCTTTTGAAGAAGGTAGATGCTACTTTTCGGCTCATCCAGTGGATATTGCTGTTCCAAGAGTTTGACATTGAAATTAAATATAGAAGTGAAGCTGAGAATATAACACCTCGCATTTCTAAACTATATAATTATATGTGATAATGTGAATTAAATGGTAGGATTAGTGAAAATCCTGAAATTAGGGCCAAAATACGTAAAAAGGTCAAAATGGTAATTTACCAAACAGGTAACCCTAGGCAAGAAAAATTGAGTAGAAGGTCTCAAATGGCAAAAATAATGCCAGAAATGGATTCAAAACGAAAAATCGAGTGGATAGGCAAGTTTCGAAAATTTTTATGAATAGTGATTTTACCGGTGTAAAATACTACGGTATAATTGTACCGATAAGCGTGAAAATATGATCAGTATTTCTAGGAAGTAAAAATATGACGTGAACGAGAAAAATACATAGGTTATGAATTTGTGGGTTAAAATGGATGATTTAAGAAAGTTAAGTGACGTGTGGGACACACATAAGTGTTTTAAGTGTGTAAGTGACCATTTGGAACCAAAAATCTTAACACTCTCTCTCCTCCTCTCTTCTTCAACCCGCGGACACCATTATTATTGGGCAAGTTTTTGCTCAAAACTTCAACCAACTAAAACTTCATCAAAACTCACTCAAATCCAAAAGTGTAAAACATCAAAGTTGTTCCAAATCACCTTGTGAACATCTTTCCTTCCTTGAGTGAGCCACGAAATTGAGTGTACACGGAGATCATTTCCCTACTTGTGGTGGCATTTTTGGACATTTTTGGTGGTGGTTAGTGGCGGTTTTGGACCGTTCAAGTGTTGAAACTTGTTCTTGGGTTGCCTAGGAGTTGATTGGTGGTAAGCTTTCTTCTCCAAACTTTGATTTTGAATTGGATTGAAATTGGTGACCTAAAGCATGTGTATATGGATCGATGTAGTTAGTGAGCTCAAATTGAAAATGTGTATTAGATAAAAGTGGCTTAGAATGATGTGTTAGAGTGATTAAACTCATAAAAATTATTGGTGAAATTGTTCGATAACTTAAGAAATTTTGTGATGAGATTTCAATACTTTGTGAAATTGGCATGTTGGGTAATTATGTAATTGAGTTGTGGAGTAATTGTATGGGTTAATTATAGGATTGTATGATGTGTGAAAGTGTGAAATTGGATTGAATACCCCTAGAGTGGTGGGCATGAACAATTCGACCTATTATGGTCATGGATGGCTTGATATGTAAAAATGGTATGATTGGTGTTGTATGATTGTGAATGGTGTTTAAAAGGAAGGTAGGGTAAGGTGATATAGTGGAATTGGAAGAAAGAATTTGGTATAAATATGTAGGTGTGGGAATTGACCTATAGAAATGATTAAGGAAGAATAAATGCAAAATAGCCCTTTGGCCTAAGTGAATTAGTTGGGAATTAGTATTTTGAAAGTGAATTAAAATGCATTGAAATTGTATTGATGATGATGTTGTTTGATCATATAGGTTACCACTCACAGAACCAATAGATGTGGAATAAGCTTGGAGCTTACGTGGAAGAGCATTACTCTTGGAGTTAAGATAAACTCTTGGTACTTGGGTTTTATCCCTTGTGTGTCTCGCCACACCTAGTGGAAGGTTGTGGTTGGATTTTGTGCTCTTTGACATTGTGTGAAATGACATGTTCATGCATTATTGCTTTGAATGTGTGGTATATTCTGTGATCTCTGGCCAGTAGATGTGTGTGGTTTGGACTTCCGCTGGAGATATCCCTTTGGGGGATTCCGGTCGGGTTTTTCCGTGGGGCCGACTCTAGGAGCGGCACCAGGATGATCCAAACGTGGGACTTCTGCTGGATAGGGCTCATGAGGAGTTCAAGTTGGTTTCTTCCATGGGGTCTTATCCATGGGAGAGGCACCTGGAAGCTTCTCGGGAGTTATATGATGGGGTCCTTGAACGGAATCCTTGTGGGGATGTTCTTGGATGTGAGCCTAGTGTTGTGATTTTGTATGTTATGCATTTTATATGATGATCATTGTATGCACATTGAGTGAACCATGGGGTGGAGTTATCCTCTAGTACCCTTGGTTTACTGAGATATATTTGTATATCTCACCCCGCGTTTGGGGACATCATTTCAGGTCATGGTGAGCATGAAGGACCATCGGGCAAGAGGTCCGCATAGTGGAGGAGTTGAATCATGATGTGCATATGGATAGCATGACATTTTGAAGAATATTATTTGATGCACATAGCATAATCTTTAGCATTTTGGGACTTAGATCATGAACATATTGCATGTTGATATTGCCATGCTTTTGTGGTGTTTATGATTAGATTCTAAGTCGTTTGTAATTGATTCACATTTCATGTCTATTGTTTATATTGACATCTTGGTTAGCATGAGACTTGTCCATGGCCACATATTTTGTGTGTAGAGGCATTTACATACTTGTGATGTAAAATGAGCCATATGATGTGTAAATGGCAAAACAAATGGTGAATGATGTAAATGATACATTGGTATTAGATTATGCATGATGGAATTACAACTATTTTACAACCACATCTTAACTGTAATTTTCAATCAATCTAACGGTTATAATTTATTGGGTCACAATTATTAATTAATTATTAATTTCCAATAAATTATAACTGTCAGATTAGCAGAAATCAATGGTTAAGATATGATTGTAAGAAGTTGTAAACGAAAATAGATTATAAATATATCCTTTCTCTATTATTTTACCTTAACACAATTATCAGTTTGATTACAGTCAGTTCCACCTCGTTTTATACATATACACACTATTGTGCCATCTTATACAAATGTGAGATGGCGTTTTTAAGCATTATTCCGTATGTTTCATATTATAGTCTAATAAAATGTTTAGTGCTACCTATTCATTTTGCAAGAGAAAAGTCACTTCAAATCAGACATCAATTGTTTATTTTTCCCTTTAAAATATTATTACCGATGAAATCATGAAATTTATATGCCTACAGGAATAATCTTATTAGTATTGCAACTACAGAGTCAAGGATATTTTTTAAAATCGGAAGGTAATAGATTCAAGTATTCAACTAGCCTCTTTGCAAAACTGAAGGGTGACTGGGTGAGATTGTACTTATCCCTTTCTAATAGTGTTGCAACAATAAAAAGTCATAATAGAAAATATGTTACATGCCCAAGGACATATCATACATAAGAAAAATATCAAGCTTTTGACCTAACTACATAGTTTGAGTAATGCCTACAAGTGAGACAAAGTCTTCTTATTCGTCATCTTTTGCGACAAAGTACTCTTTTCAAATGCAACTTCCATATTCTAGGGGTGATGATGGCAATAGTTTCCATGAAAAAGGTCATTTTGGTACCCAACCAAACATTTGAACAAGAATGCTACTTTGGCATTAACGATAAACAATGGCCATTTTTGCATTGGAAGGTCCTGTATTGTTTGAATCAAGAGGGAAGAAAAATGGGTAGAGTTCATATCGAACATAACAAGAACTATATAGCACTCTACACCCTTTACGATTGTTACAAAATATGGGAAATTTGCTCACTGCAATAGCCAAACACTGAGCACAGGATAGCTCAGAAAGGTCCCTTGTGCATTGCACCAAAGCATAAAGTGTCACAAATGGTGACAAAATGGACTTTCCTTTCCCAAGCCCTTCCTCTTTGGGCATAACAGCTTGTGCTCTAATTTGATCCATCAGAACTCCAAGTTCTTTATTAAAAGCTTCAGGATCAGTTACATTTTCAACATTGAAATAGAATATACCAAAAGATGTATCAACTTCACCAATGAAAGTTTTGTTATTATACCTTAAAAAGCAATAATCATACCAAATCCTTGCATCAGCTATGTTTGGACAGAGTTGATGGATTTGTTTTGTTGCTTCTTGAATACAAATGGAGCAGTCTTCGATGCTAACATCACCCCTGCATTGAGCCAAGCCATAAACTTGGTCTTGGTCTTTGCCATATGTTGTAGCAACAAAACCGGTGGAGGGAGTTTTAAGGGCTAACTCAGCTAATAGTTTATCAATATTAACTGATAATTTGCCTCCACTGCTAATGTTACTGTGTTTATTGCAGAATTTCCCCAAGGGATCTTCAGATTTTGCACTTGAACTGCATAGAAATAATAAGAAAATGACTTTGTATAACAGATACATGATTTTCCTCCTTCCCAATTTTCATAGAGCCAAGTGCTTCTTATGAAGAAAATAGAATGTGGGGTTGATGGTGGAAGTGGAACCCTTTAAGCAGACAATGTTGACTTGCAAACTTGCCTCCACCACAATCACCGGAGGAAGCACGAAGTATGATTGCTTTCATTGACTTTTGTATTTATAATTTATTAGAAAAATATAATATAACTTTATTTAATATTTTAAATTTTTGAGTTGAATTAATTCTCTATGACATATTGAGTTTCTTAGCATAAATAAGAGCACATATACATGGTTTATCCTTCAAGCCCAATAATAAATTCTTATGTGAGGAACGTGCTAGAAAAATTTAATATAAGACCATGTCTAACCACTTAAATTTTGAGTTGTTCCTAACTAATAATGAAATTCAATATGTGTTTTCAATGATCCACAAATATGTTTCAATGAATATAATGTTCTCTTGAGAATAAGTACAAGAATATCGTAGAAGCTTCATGGTCACTTTGGGCGGGAAGTAGAGATCATAAATTACCAAAAATAAATACTGAAATTTTTATTTTAAATTTATACATTTTTATTAGAAGTTGAAATTATATATTTATAACTAAGGAAAATATTAAGTCTACAAATTTTTATCTATTATTAATCATTGATCTTCCTTGCCTCTAATGACTGTAAAGAAAGTCAATGATAATATAAACTCAAATTGATGATAAGCCTTTTGTAATTGATTATAAGTTACTATAAATTCTTTCAAACAATGATACCATAAATTGATTATAAGACACAACCTAATACAACCTACTCAAGTCCCTCACCATTAGTCACCAATCCTAGTGGCTTCTTGTGTATTTTTTTAAGTTATTTAATTTTATTGATGGATATTACATCAAATTGAATTTATATTAACATTAATCTAATACTAGTAAAGAAAACTTTAGCTATTATCAGTTATCTAATTTGTACACTGATACTCAAAATAATTCAGAATCCCATCATCATTACCATACTCTATAATGATACCCGGACACACACATTTTTGAAATAAATGTGTGTCGGACACGTGTCGAACATCGACATACTCTGACGTGTTGCGACACGCGTCCAATATGCGGTCAATATTTTGGAACACACGGTCAACTCTCTGACACGTTTCGACATATTTTTTCGACACAAAATCAACTTTTTTCGATATGCGATCAACGCTCCCACACATTTTTTTTTTAGTCTTTATTTTATGAACTAAACATAAAAAAAATAATATATAAATCAATTTTTTTCTGTTATGAAATTTGACATGAAAAATTAACAAGGTACAAAAAAATTATTTTTGTTTATATTTATGTTATGAAATTTGAATATTTGATTAGTTATATAACTTATTATAGACTGTTATATGTATTAAATATAAATTAGATTTTATATATTAAAAACATTATTTAATATCAAAACGTGTCATAATGTGTCGAAGTATGATATTTTTTAGAATTAACGTATCGACGTATCGTATCGTGTCATGTCCCGTATCAGTGTCGGTATCGGTGCAAGGTAGGACTATAGCTCCATCCAATTCAAACCAAATAGCAAACAGTATCATTCATCGGAGTGCGGAATTCATAAACTTAATGGTTTTAGTTATGATAGCTTGTCAATCGGTGGATAAGAGTGGATTTTTTTTTAGTACATAAGAGTGCATCTTTGCTCAGCACTATTGAAGATCAAAACCCAATTGCAATATTAATTCTAAATAAAAAATTTAATTACAATAAGAAATTAATTCATCTCCTACAATTTTAAAACATGTTTAAGATAAGTGCTAAATATAAAACGGGATAGCTGCCAAATAATGTTAGTATCAATGTTACTATTATATCTTAAGGGTTGATTTCTGTCAATCAATGGTTATTATTTTCACAAATCAAACTCATTAATTAATTATTAATTCACAATAAATAATAACCGTTGATAGGCGAAAATCAATGGTTAAAATATGATAGTAACATTAATAGTAATATTATTTGGTAATAATAATATCTTATCCTATATAAAACAATTATTTCAGTTATAAAATAATATTAGTTCTATAACTTAACTTCTTGTTTTTTTACATTTATCTTTATGAAAAAAGGAAAGAGAAAAAAATTCTTTACATTTATTTTTTTGTTATGTGCCTTAAAACTTTCCGTGAGTTTGTTTTACTTTTGTTCTTATGTGAAAGTAGGGATGTGTATGGATCGAACCGAACCGAATTTTATGAAAAATCGAACTGAATTTGTTTAAATGGTTCGATTCGAAAATGATTCGGTTCGGTTCAAAACTGGTTCGATTTGAAAGTTGTTCGGTTCGGTTCGGAACCTGTTCGGGTCGACCCTGTTTTGAAAATTAAAAAATTTAAAATTTAAAAAATAAAGTTATAAAAATCAAGTTGGTTTGGTTTGAAAACAGCTCGATTCGGTTCGAAAATGGTTCGGTTAGGTTCAAAATGGTTCGGTTTAAACTGGTTCTAAAAATCGATTCGGTTCATGAACTGGTTCTTTAAAAACCGATTCGGTTCATGAATTGATTTTTAAAAACCGATTATTTTAAGGGCGGTTTGGTTTGGTTCATGGTTCGGTTCAATTTTTTGATTATTTTACATACTCCTATGTGAAAGGCCAACCATTAGATAGTGCTCTTGAAGACAAATTATAATGAACACATAATTACGCACCTACTCTAAAATGTCTAAAGACAAATAATATTCAGGTAGAAAACCAAATTGATAAGCACCAAATGGGGCATGGTAAGCTTGCATTGGTCAATTTTCAAAGTCATCCACTAATGTTGCACGAAACAAGAAGCTCATTACTTGCATTTTCTCCTCCCTTCATTTTCACGAGTGGGCTTATGCTTTCTAAATGTTTCGCAATTTTGTTAACAAAATTTGGTGTCCTAATGATGTTATTTTTTTTATACAAGAAATTGAAAAGTAAAATACAAAATACAAAATAGAGAAAAGAAAAACCAACAAAAACAATAAAACAGAAAAGAAATAAAACTATCCCGTTCATTTGGTGTCCTAATGATGTTCTTGTTAGACTATTATCCATAATATTCTGTTATAATAAATTAATGAGAGACTAGTGGGTTGTAAGGAGGCTTCAAAGTTTTCAAAAGAGAAGATGAAGGATGTATTGAGATTCTCAGTATCTTATAACAAGGATAATTAAAAAGATGAGGGTGGATGCTTTCATTTTTTATTTTTTTTGATAAATAATGCTTTCATGTTTTTTATTAAATCTCAATCATTCATTTAGATATTAACAGTTACCAATTAAAGTGATAATTTTCATTTTCTTGTTTTGTAAATTTATTTATTAAAATTGTGACATTGATCTGTGAATTAATCATAGAAATATTCCACATAATATGATTATTTGAAAACAAAACAAAAGATGATCTGTTCCCCTAAAAAATGATATTCCGTCACAAAAATAAATTGCAAGAATCAAATATGTATAATTGCTTTTCACCAAAAAAAAAAAAAAAGATATGTATAATTGATAAGTTTTAGAATTTGTTTGGTCATGGAATCGAAGTCAAAGATTTTGTTAGTATGTAGGTATCTTAGAGATAATATATTTTATCATAACTTGTATTATTTGGTATTTCATGATTTATATATTTGAGCACACTTTATTTTTATCATATTTATGTCGTGCCTATATTTGACGGTTAATATGCAGTTCAAGATAAAGGTCTAAGAATAGAATAGGTGTTCACTCGAGGATATAAGATAGGGATAATGATCAAGAGGACTCAAGGACACTACATACTATTGCTTGAAACTTGTCCCTAGTCTTGAATAACCAAGATAGGGCATTGATGATCTCAATAAGACTAGTACAATATCATCTACTTGTATGGAGATACAAGGTAGAGACATCATGGAATGCAGGCATGGTGATGCCTTAACTGATGTTGTGCGTGGATATGTTAAAGAACAGATAGCACTGAATTGACCCACTGTGAGACTCCACAAGGATTCATTGTAGAGAGTATCATTGAATTTGTAATGTCTCTCATCGTTAGGTAGTGCAGATCGTCCTAGACTTGAGGATGTCATCGAACACTATGTCTTAGGGTTATAATTTGACGTACAACTCTATCCGCCTAAAAAATGGGAAGAACAGTGTACTATTGGGTATAACTCAAATACATGAGTATAGATGGACATGCTAAAAGGGCTCATAGTCCCCTACAAGGGATTAGTTGTTCACAAGACTAGCAGGGCTTATACGACTTCTATTTGACTTCAGAACCTATCCATAGTAAGCGATCATGAGGATTCATGATTTGTCTTATAGTCAATAGAAGAAGATTTCTCGTTCTGTGAAAAGCTACATTTAGTCTACCAAGAGAGATGATACTTTATAGTTGCTCTCGACTAAATGTGAACGACATTATGAGGGATGATGTCGGTCCAGTATCCAAATTATATAGGTAGATCACTTGATCAACTTAGTTTTGGTGCCACAAAGCATTGCTAGTATCTTATATGGTCATTAGATAAATTGGGTCCGTTAAAGGACTAATTAGGCCTAATGGGTCACACACTAAAGTTGTTCTTGATTGCTTTATTCCAGCAAGTCTGGACCAATAATTGTTATTGGGCATTTTCAACTATAGGTGTAACTGGGTTGGAGTTGGACTCTAAGCCCAATAGTATCATGCGCCCTATTTTGGCTTTTAGTGGTGAAGTTAGTTTTTCCACTAATTGGCCCAAATGTGTGTTAACAAGCCTAATAAGGTCCCAATAAGGTCTTGGGCCATGAGTCCTAGTAAGTCAAAGAGTTGGGTTAGGTAAAATGAGTTTTGGCGCAACTTAAAATTTGAATTTGAATTTTGAATTTTGAAATCTTGAATTTGGAATTTGAATTCAAATTTAAATTACAAACTAGGACAATAATGTATTTGGATTTGAATTTAAATTGAAATTTGAAATTCAGATTCATATTTAAATTCTCGAGGT